TCTTCTTCCCCTGATTTATCTCTGTCTCATGATCCCGTCTCTATTCTTTATTCTCCTCCTGATACCCCTGAACCTTCTCCTCTTCTAGGAGGTCTGAACGAGTCACTACTGTCCCTAGCTATCTGCATGACTACATTTGCAATAGTATAGTTCTGATTGACCTTACTAAGGCTTGTTTTATTCACCCTTCTAAGACTACAACCTTCTCTTTCAACTCCCTCTCTTTGTCCAACCAACACCACCTCTTCTCTCTCTCACAGGTCACTGAACCACATAACTTTGGCCAAGCTGCTCAACATCCAGGCTAGACTGCTGCTATGTAAGAAGAACTAGATGCATTAGCTTTCAACAATACATGGGAAATGGTGGACCTTCCTCCAAGGAAGAAAGCATTGCCTTGTAAATGGGTCTACAAGGTAAAACACAAGTCTGATGGTTCAATTGAGAGGCTGAAGGCCAGACTAGTTGTGAGGGGGGATGTCCAACAGTAGGGGATTGACTATAATGAGACATTTTCCCCCGTAGTCAAGATGACCACTATTAGATGTTTACTTACAACTGTTGTCAAAAAAGATTGGCCAGTTCACCAATTGGATGTGAGCAATGCATTTTTGCATAGAGATCTACAGGAAAATGTCTACATGAAACCTCTTCCAGGTTTTCACCCTCCTAAATCTACCCAAGTTTGCCTATTGCAGAAGTCTCTATATGGGCTAAAACAGGCTTCGAGGTAGTGGTATGCTAAATTGGCAGGTGCATTGATTTTCCAGGGTTATTCAAGTTCTCTTAATGACTATTCCCTGTTTTTCAAGACTACTGGTGGCCTTACATCCATTATTGTTGTTTATGTGGATGACATTCTCATCACTGGGGATGACAAAGATGAAATTTTACGTATCACTACATTTCTAAATACAGAGTTTAAAGTCAAAGAATTGGGTGCCATACATTATTTTTTAGGCCTTGAGATCCTCAGAGAACAACAATGGTTTATTGTCAATCAAAGGAAGTTCACTTTGGAGCTTCTCAATGAGTTTCCTTATACATGTCCTGATGTCTCTACTCCACTTGACCCCTACTCTAAGCTCACTGCAGAAGATGGACCTTTCCTATCTAATCCTACCTTTTACAGGCACGTAGTTGGAAAACTCAACTATTTGACACATACTCGACCTGACTTGTCATTTGCTTTGTTGAAGTTTAGTCAATTTATGCAACGACCTACTCAATCACATTATTCAGGAGCACTTAGAGTTTTGAGATACCTGCGTGTTGATCCTAGCCAAGGCATCCTCATTTCCTCTGCTCCATCCTTGCAACTCCTTTCCTTCTGCGATGCCGATTGGGCTTCCTGCAAAGAATCCCATCGATCTGTTAGTGTTTACTTCATCACACTTGGTGGTGCTCCTGTGTCTTGGAAGTCTAAAAATCAGACCTCGGTATCTTTATCATCTGCTGGAGCGAAATACAGATCTATGAGGTGTGTCACAGCTAAGATAGCGTGGCTCACTCGATTGCTCACTGATCTTTCTGCTCCTCCTTCTTTACCGGTGTTTGTCCACTCTGATAGTAAAGTCGCTATTCACATCGCCAAGAACCCTATTTTTCACGAACGTACTAAGCATGTGGAGTTGGATTGTCATTTTGTTTGCCAACAGTTCGTCTCATGTCTGATCACCTTATCGTTCATTCCATCTGCTCATCAGTTGGCCGATCTGTTCACTAAGCCTCTGCTTAGCCCTTCTCATCAATATTTGTTACACAAATTGGGGGTTTCTTCTCTTCCCTCCAATTTGAGGGGGGATATTGACACTCGTAACTCTCCATCATCATATTCTTCTTCTCCCAAAGAAATGATTGAAGACTTTGAAGAAGAAAGAAGAAAAGGAAAGAGAAAGAAGAGGAAAGAAGATTTCAGACAACTTTCACAAAACCTAGACCCTTCAATACTTGTCTGAAGGTGACGTCGAGTAATCTAAACCTCTCATCAAGAACGAAACGGATCAAATGTGAACCGTTGGATTGATCAGTCTAGAATAATGCACTCACATGTTAGGCATGTGAGGAATAATAGTTTGTTACATATGGATAGGTGAAGTACAAATTAGAAGGTGACATGTGTATATTGTTGTTGCTTTATTTTTTATTTTATTCAGTAATTATGCTTGTATATATACATCGTATTGGGTATGAATAGACATTCAGAAATTTTCCCAAAATTCTCTACAATTCCTTTCACCAAACAACCTTTAATCCTTTTTAAGACTTTCTTTGAATTTGCAAAGGAGATATCGCAACTGACACGCAAGTTAGTTCACTTTCTTTTGAAAATTATATCCAGTCTCCTTTTAAAATTTCTAATAAAAGAGTTAAATTTAAAACCTTTTACATGTTAATTCAGTGCAATATAAAGGATTATAACATATATATTTGTTATGGTCTTTTGTTGATTACTCTTTTTCTTCTATACAATATATATTTGTTTGTTTAATTTATATCATCAAACTAAGGATTAAATAATACCATAAATAATACATGTATTCGATTCATAGTGTATATTTATTTTTTTATGGTCTTTGATCAACTATTGAAAATGAACTAAGATTTTACCATTTTGTTGTGGCAAAAAGTTTTTGACAAAGATATGGGTCAGTTAAGTTTTTTGGGCCATCCTTATGTATCTCAAGCTGAGCTACTTGTGGATTGGGCCTACATAAAACATCTGGACTTAAAAAAAAGAGAAAAAAAGGATAAATTTTAGGAATCAAATAGTTTTAATATGAAATTACATTTTATCCCTCTTTAGTTTGTAATTACATTAATTCCTTAAAAAGTAACACAAACCGGTTACATAATATGTAGCTTGAATACATTAAAGGGTATCTCAGATACATTATAACATAAACCGTATACATAATATATAGCTCGGATACATTATAAAATAAATCGAATACATAATATGTAGCTCGGATACATTAATATGTATCTCGGATACATTAATATGTATCTCGGATATATTAAAGAAATAAGGGATTTTAGAGGTTTTTAGAAATAGAAAGGGATATTGGAAAGAAGGGAAACATAAGACGTGTATTTCAGTAATTTTTCCAAAAAAATATTCAAAGGGCGACCTATTGTGATGCCCTATTTTGAATCGATTTGGATTGACTTTTGATTTTTGAACTTATAAGCCAAAACTCATAGATTGAAATTCTAACTTATAGTTTTTGACTCATCCTTACTATTTTAACTCGAAAACACCTTTTAAATTTATCCAAACACTATAAAAGTACTTAAAATAAGTCAATCCAAATATGCTCGTAATTATTATCTGCCGTTTGTTTTATTTTGCACGAATTTCAGTAATTATTATCTGCCGTTTGTTTTATTTTGCACGAATTTCAGAAAGATGTATGTTTTTTTCTGCTTCTTCTGCTTCTGTTTCTACATGCGGGCACACATGACTGACATTTTAGTCAGTTTTAACATGCATTTAATTAGTCATGCATGATTGAACCCAAACATGCACGAAAAATTTAAAAGTGTGTTAGATGTTTTTTTAGATTTATTATTGTTTTGATAAATTGATGATTAATATTTATTCTTTATGATAGAATGAAACTTATATTTCAAATACACAAATATCATGATATCTTATTTCACAAAGTATGTGGAGAAGATTAGGCAAAACAACCATTTGAAAATTAACTTCAAGTAGCTATAAATCTCAATAAATATTATTGTCACTAATCGAATAATTAGGCATTAAGTTGTCAAGTAAGCATAAACCTCTCGCAATTTAAAACCAAAGGATGAAAGCAAAGACCAATTATAACAAAGATACTATGATTTATAATAATAAAATACTTAGCTAATAAGATGCATAAATTCACCTTAATGTATAATATTCTCATATGGTAAGGAAATAAAACTTTATAAAAAGAAAGCCAAAGATTATTACTTTTAGAACAAAATAAGTTAAACTCATCCATCACTAAGCAAAGTAGTGCAGCCACAAAACACCCTTTTTGCTTCTTGCTATTTTCAAGATTCATGTGATTCTATCACAATCTAAAGCAATTAAAGTTGAAGTTTTTTTCTTCCTATGGTATCTAAATCTTCCCAAAAAAGGCACAAGATTTTGCTTTTTGTTCATTGCTTGTGAACTTCATTGTTGTTTTTTCAATTTATGTTTTCGTATTAGGTAAAAAGAACATATAAAGGCAACTATATTCTTTTCTTTATTTTCTAACTTTTCATGGTTTCATTTTCTTCCAACAACACTAAAAAGTGATGGTCGGAGTGGTAGCTCCCGTGAACAAACTCACAAAACCCTTCACAATCTCGAAGGTACAAAGCATATTCACCTCATCAGAGACTATGAAACTAAGATTTTAACTTTATGAGTTCTGAATCTTATAATGACGACTTTAAATGATATATAACACTGTTTTGAGCAAAATCTACTAACTTCAATTGAACTCGCATGCAGGCTACTTACTCCACCGCACCTAACCCTCTATGTGTAACTAGATTATATTTTTTTCTTATGATATTATATTTTATTCTAGAATAAATATTGGTAAATTGATATCTCACAACAGAAATAATAATGTTATTTTCCAGTATCTAACCATTGTTATAGGTTTAATCAATGATTCCGAGTGCTTAAAAAGATATTTCCGAGTTTTAATTTATACTATACTTTATACTTTTTATTTTTCAAAGAGTCAGTTTAATAAGTGTTCAAGAAGTGCACCTAAATAATCTATGGTGAAATTATTACTAATCAATTGACTACAACTACAACTCCAACTTTGAAAACAAGAATGAACATACATTATTATTAGAGTATACTCATCTATGCAATGAATTATATCTAGTTGATTCAAGATTAATCTCCCTTTTTCTTTGTCTCTCTCCTCCAACTCACTCAAAGGCACACACATACATTAAATGTTGACTTGAGACATATTTGTCCACATACACTTCCCATATATGTTTCCTTCAAGTATAAATTAGAAGCTTAACATACAATTTTTCTATATACTACTCAATCTCCAAGAAAACCCTTTTTCCATCTCTTACAAAACCAAACACTAATCTTTATTATAATCTCATCATGGGACATAATAGAGAAGAAACTAACAAAAAGCCTCAAAAACTTGCCATAGACAATGGTCTCCAAAGAACAATATCTGATATCTCATTTGAACTTAGCAAAGAAGTAGCATTAGTAGTATCTGATCATAATAATATTGAGAAGAATGTGCTTCCACCTATTTCTGAAGTTGAAGATGCAAAGTGTGAGTGTTGTGGTATGTCTGAAGAATGCACACTTGAATATGTTAAGAGAGTTAAGGAGAAATATTCAGGGAAGTTGATTTGTGGTTTGTGTTCTGAGGCTGTGAAGGAAGAGATGGAGAAGAAGAATGGAGGTAAGAAGTTAGAAGAAGCTTTAAATGAGCATATGAATGCATGTTCTAAATTTAATAGACTTGGTAGGGCATATCCTGTGCTTTATCAAGCTGAAGCTATGAGAGAAATATTGAAAAAGAGTAGAGCTAAGTCTCTTAGTCCTAGAGATACTCAAAAGAAAGGTGGGATTGCTAGGAGTTCAAGTTGTATTCCCGCTATCACTAAAGATATTAATACTCTTAAAATTGTTGATTGAGGAGAACGTTCGTTTGCTGATACTATTATCACTATTCGATACATGTATGGCCATAATAGTTATTTATTATATCGTCAGTGAGTACAACTTATTTAGGATTGTTTATAATGTAGATCAACTAAGTTAGGGAGTTGATGCTTCATATTACATAAATAACTATTTTTTTTCTTGCTAGAGTGTGGTAATAATTATTCTAACCCCTAGGATTCTTGTATTTACTTCTTTATATGAAGTTCTTAACTTAATCTTAATGGTCTATATATTTAATTTCATGTTATGTTCATTTATTTCAGTAGAACAAATTATAATTGATGATATTTTGTTACCTATTCTACTGTTTTGTTTGTTATATCTCAAATATAATTGATAATATTTGCATACACTCTATTCATCTCGTGAAATTTCACTAAATTTATTGTTGTTGTTGATCTAAACAAGATAAGTCTTCTACTCCATTGAGAGTGTTTCTTGTTATACGTGACTATTGTTATAGCTAGAGTAATCTTCTTGTAATGTTTAAATGAATTTCCCCTTTCTTCTCATCTTAAATGATTACTAAATGAATGGGTGTCCATGAAAAATGGTAGACGTCCTCACGGCCTAATTATGAAATTTTGAATTTGACATATATAATAATATATTACAATAGTATAAAAGAGTTGAGACAATATGCATATTAAATCTTTCTTTATTTATTGGCTTGTAAAAGCATGAAAGAAAATGTTTCAATCTATTGCTGGTCTTTGAATTGGCATGGAAAAGTGCAAGGCAAATGAGTTCGTAAGGAATTATCAAAAAAAAAAAAAGTTATGAACTATTTAATTAGAAATAAATTTCGTCGCGAGTTTTATTATTTTACTAGATACGTGAGTCCGTACCAATACAGACCCAATATATGTTACTTTATATGTTTTAACTTATGTGGTACATATGAAATCTCAAATTATGGGGTACAAATAAAATTTGGAGAGTCGGTCTTATATTCTATATATTTTCTCAATTTATGTGGTACATATGAAATCTCAATTTATATGGTAGATATAAAATTTAGAGAGTCGGCCAAATATTCTATATTTTAAAAAAAATTAAGTTGTTAATAATTGTGTTGCAATACTTTTTAAGTTATTTTCAAATCATCTATATTACTTTATTTATCCCAATATATGTGGAACAAATAAATTTTGAGTCAATTATATGATTTTTTAATGTTTTAAGTTGTTAATTATTATGATTTATAGTACTTTTATATCATTTTTAAATAATATATGCTACTTCTTTTGTCTCAATATCCGTAATATTGATAGAATATTAAGAGTTGAATAAATATTTAGTAATAAACAATATTGAAATACCTTGAATTTTAATAGAACTGTAAAAAAAAAAATAACTACAAATACTGAACATTACGGGGTCGTTTGGTACACAGATGCATAATGCAGGGATTACTAATGTAACATCTCGCACCTAGAAACGACTATAAAGAGTATGAAAATATTTATTTTTGGAAAGAATAAGGAAATCTGGAATTTGTCTAAGTTAAGAAAGTGAGTTTTGGCCATTTTCAAACGGCCATAACTCCTAGCTCAGAATGATTTAGGAGCAGATCTTGATATGGTTGGAAAGCCCTTGGAGAGATCTTTCCAACGCCTCGAGATTGCATGATTTCGACATTGTATGAGTGAGATATGCCTTTCGGAAGTTGGGTTGTTGGATTGAGGAAAGTCCCAATCCGGATTTAGGGAAGGACAAAGTAGTTTTTTCTCTAATTAATTTCCTAATTTGTTTATAGGGATTTATTGGGGTAAAAACAGAACTCAATTCAGTTTTGGAAAATTAGAATACGCTTAGGGCTTGGAGAAAAGAGAAAAGAAGAAAGAAAGGGTGAAAATCCAAGATTTCGCCAAGAACGTCAAGCGTTTGAAGTGGATTTCATCGGGGGTGATCCCTATTAAGGTATGTGAGATCTTTTAGTGATGGGTTAGTTCACCCACACACCAATTTGTTTCAATTCAGTGATTTGGAGTTGTTTACATGTTAAGAAGTGAAGTTCTTGAAGAACATTGTTGAATTCTTGTTGGTTGAGTTGTTGATGCTTGGGGATTGAGTTGATTCATGTTTCGGGCTGTTTTTTCGAGTTAAATCTATTGTGTATTGAGGGTACAATTTATCCTAAGTGTTTGGGGAAATAACTAGGGAAGATTTGAGGGTTTAGAAATGAAAAACGAAGACCTTGGGGCGCCACGCCAACCAGCACCCCCCAAAGCAGCCTCTGAAGTTTTGACCTTGGGGCGCCACGCCAGCCAGCGCGCCCCACAAACTTCTCTGAAGTTTGGGGCCTGGCACCTCACGCCTCTCAGAGCGCCCCACAAACTTCTCTGAAGTTTGGGGCCTGGCGTCTCACGACTCTCAGAGCGCCAAGGACGCCAGTTCACCCCATTCTTCCCCCACCTTTTCGTACTAGTTCCTAAGTGATGTACCTATGTTTCCTAGTTGATTCTAACACTCTAAGGTACATCTAAACATCATGAAATCATCCATAAACATGAGATCATGAACCTTGAATCTATAATCCAATTCAAGGAAAGTTAAGATCAAAGTCAAAGAAGTTAAAAGTCAAGTTTAGAAGTTAAGAAGCAAGTCAAAGCAAAGTTTCTTAAAGTTTTCAAGAGTCTTTATTAAACGTTTAAACTTCGTTTTAAGGCTCAAGTTTCAAGTAAAGTAAAGAGTAAGGAGTTGAGTTCATTTCTCAAAAGTTATTAGGGAACTAAGTATTCCCAAAGAAGTTTATAAATGTTTTTACATTTGAGCAAGAAAGGAACTATGATTTCCAAAAGAGCCTTTGGACTAGTTTTCAGTAAAGGGAACATCAATTCCAAGAGAGCCTTTGGCTAAACTTTGAGCAATTATCTCAAACTAAATAAAGGGGTGTTTAAAACACATATGAGCTAAAGTATATTTTTGGAGTAGTATTGAGCACCGAATTGGGGACGCGAGTTCATATTAACTCAACTCTCCATAAGAACCATGTAGCCATCATGGGTATTAATGGGTCATACTTTTTAGATGATCACATAAGTTAAGCTAGTGGATCCACTAAGTTAAGTAAGGTCCTATATCACGGTGAGGTATAGTATGGTCCTTGGGTAACGTGAGGTAAAATGTTGCACCATCACTATGGCTCATACGGGTGGTTGTCGGTTAAAGAATCTTCCACAAAAGTTATATTACTTTTATATATAATTAAAGTTGAGTTTGTTATTGTTTTATCTTTACAAACTCAGTTGTTTACCCTGTTTTACAAGCTTTATATACATATTGCATGTGTCTTATTGTTTTATATTGAGTTCAGTTATTCATGAGTTGTACAGAGCCAAGGTAAGTGTTCCTTCTTACTCCTTTCAAGCTTAAGTTGTTGTTTAGCATTTCAACTCGCATACTCATACATTCAATGTACTGATGCTAGTTGGCCTGCATCTTATTATGATGCAAACGCAGGTAACCAGGATCAGCATCCAGTGCGCCGTTGATCTAGTCGAGCACTCCAGAGTCAGTGGTGAGCCTCTTTGCATTTAGGAGGACTCTTTTATTCGTTTTCCTAATTTTTCTTTATTCGGATGTTGTGAGGTCTGTCCCAACATCCATCTCAGTATTTATAGAGGTTTCATAGACTGCCAGACAGTAGTTATGAGTCTCTCATTTATGTACTTACAGATATCCTATTTTGAGACATAAGTAGCCATTTTGGCCAGATTTTATCATTTAAGCTGTTTATGAACTTATATTGTGTTGAGTTAAGCCTTCCGCTAAGTTAAGTAGCTAGGCCAAGGGTTCGCTTGGGGCCAACAATGGTCTCCGAGTGCCGGCCACGTCCAGGGTGTAGATTCGGGGCGTGACAACTAATGTATGGATTAGTAATGCAGGGTTTAGTAATGCAAAGATTAGTTTTTATCAAATGTTTGGTTCATTGTTTCCCATTTAATCTTTTGTTTGGTTAAAAATTCTAGAAAAAGTTTCATTCCTACTATACCCTTGAGTTATTATGAGAATTTATATCTCATTTAATTTGTCAAGTTAAATACGAAAATATATTTAAAAAATTATTATTAATTTTGATCAGGTGTGATAAGCTACCATAGAGATCCTTGATAGCACGATATATTTCTAAGTTTTGTTGGTCAAATATACCTTAAACTTAACATAGATTTAAGACTACTTAAATTGTTCAATTACACGAAGCTTATTTTATTAAAAAAATAGTTCTAGTGTGTTTTATTTAAAAAATATAATTAGACTGATTTTAAGAGTCGCCACTTAATTTTTAAGGTAAAATTAAGAAAACTGATTTTTCAATAGATTAAAACAGGAAATCAATTGAAAATATTTAAAGGGGGTTCGGGGTTCATATTAGCATTTCGGGAAGGGCTTGAAAGCACCCGAAATGTCCGTTAATACGCGGTTATCCGACAATTAATTATTTGGCTAAAAGTGGATTAACTTGATTTGAATTGAGCAATTTTTATAATTAGAACCATTTTAAAGGGAAAATAAGAGGAGAATGTAGAGATAATATCTAAGTGAGATATTACTCAAAATTATTCTTTAAGTTCATTTAAAAGACCGATTTAATTAAATTGTTAAATCAAAATGGGGTCTTTCGGGGATTTGAATTTTTCGACTTTAAGATTAGCGGCAAATATTGACAAGCACACAAACACAATGAAATAAAAAGGGAAAGAGACTCGAGCCCAAGTTTGGTTTTTCTGTTCGTCTGGACTAATACTTGGGCCCTTTTTAGTTTTGGGCCTTTGGCCCATTTGAGTCACCTGCACATGTCCTAAGAACTAACAAGTATAGCAAATAAGTGAGCTTAGGTCCAAAATAATAAAATATAATCTTCTGAAATTAAGATTGGGCCTTTCGCCCAATTTTCAATTCTCCAAATTGATGTGTGTCCTTTCAACTTCGGGACTTGTCCGTCAACTTTAATGATTGGCTGACTC